CTCGCAACGATTATATCATCAACATAAACAAGAACAAATATAGTGATATTGTCTTTATTGTAAAAGAACAATGAGGTGTCTACTTTAGATGGTGTAAACCCAAGTTGTTGTAACTGCATGCTCAACCTTGAGTACCAAGCTCTCGGGGCCTGTTTCAAACCATACAGAGCTTTATCCAACTTCCAGACATAATGTGGTGTGCTTTGATCCTCATATCCTGGTGGCTGCCGCATGAACACTTCTTCCTCAAGAACACCATGAAGAAACGCGTTCTGAACATCTAGCTGACGTAGGCTCCATCCTCTGGAAACAGCAATAGACAACACAAGTCGAATAGTAGCTGATTTAACAACAAGGCTAAATGTATCCTCATAGTCAATACCAAACCTCTGTTTGAAACCCTTTGCAACCAGCCTAGCTTTATATCTGTCTATACTTCCATCAGATTTTCTCTTTATATTGTATACCCATTTGTAGTCTATAACATTACTACCTTTCTTTGGTGGTACTAAATGCCAAGTATTATTTTTTATAAGTGCATCATACTCATCATCCATAGCCTTTTTCCAATCCTTATGAGCAAGAGCATCATGCAAGTGAGTTGGTTCACCAACACTGGTAAGAAAAGCACGCTTGACTCTGTCATATCTTATAGTACCATCAGTATATTCTTTCCCTTTGACAATACCTGACTGCGATCTAGTGTGTCGGCGAAGAGGTTGATGAAGAGCTGATGTTACAGAAGATCTCGGCTGAGAAAACTCTGTGTGAGTTGCCACAGAAGATCCTAGCTCCTGATCCGAGGAAGATCGAGGCACAGGCGATCCAGGCTCCCGATCCGAGGAGGATCCCCCTGACATCGCAGGTGCGCGATCGGCGGCTGGCTCGATCGGCTCGATTCGCGGGCCCGCGGTACGAGGGGATAACGCACTTCCCCCTGTGCCATGGTTGACCGGGTCCACCGCGCGTGGCGACGCACTTCGGCCCACGCCTGGGCTGGTAGCCACGCGTGGCGACGCGTTGCGGCCCGCGCCTGGGCTGGTGGGATCCACCTCTGGTGGGCTGTCGGCCACCGGCGCGACCGAGCTGGGCGAGCCGGGCAGTTCCGCCTGCACGCAATTGGTTGCATGCATGTCTGCCTCGGATCTGGCGCGGATCGGGACAGCAGGACTGACGCGGAAATCTGCACCGGATCGTGCGCTGCTGCCGGGAGAATCAGCCTCGGATCCTGTGCCTGCTTTGTCCTCATCTGTACACATAAAATGATGACCCAAATCTGCACATATATCATTAGAACCACAAATTTGTATGGAATTTTGCACATGATCAAGTTTATTGAATTCACCCTCGTAATCAGGAAGAAGTGCTATTTCAGCACGAAGGAGAGCCCCCGCGTTTGGATGAAGTTTGGCAAACGGGAAGAGCGTTTCATCAAAAATGACATCTCTGGAAATATAAATCCGACCAGTGGCAACTTCTAAGCACTTGTACCCTTTGTGGAGATTGCTATAGCCAAGAAAAACACATTGGGTGGAGCAAAGCTCGAGTTTGTGGTGATTATATGGACGTAGGTTGGGATAGCAAGCGCACCCAAAAACACGAAGAGAGTTGTAGTCTGGTTTCTTTTGATATAATCGCTCCAATGGAGTAGTGTTGCCAATGACCTTACTAGGGAGACGATTGATAAGATAGGTGGCAGTGATGAATGCTTCATCCCAATACTTGAGAGGCATGGAGGCATGAGCAAGAAGAGAAAGACCAACTTCAACAATGTGGCGATGTTTCCGCTCAGCGAAGCCGTTTTGTTGGTGAGCATGAAGACAGGAGACATGATGCTCAATGCCTATGCTACGAAAGAAAGAATTTAGTTTCTCA